GATGTGATGTCAGAATTAGCATATTTTGCACCACATTTAATTTCTGTTCGAGGATTGATAATAACTTTGCAATAAATATTGCTTGCTTTTTTCTTCAAAGTAATCCCAGACTTTTGATTTCCTTCATTGACATAATTCTCAAAAAAATCTAGACAAAATTCATATTAATTATAAAAATAGATAATTATTCAATTGTTAATTATATTTTTTACACAAAAATTAACCAGTTAAAACGGTTAAACGGTTAACTGAATCAGCATTAGAAAAAAATATCCACCAATAAAATTTTATTAAATAAAAAAATTTATTAATTCTAATTACGCGAATAATAAATAATACATTTTTATATAATAAAGTTTTATTAATGTACAAAAATTAAGTTATTTTTATAAATAAAACAAAATATTATATTTCAAGTAGCATTGACTCTTAATGATATTCTTGACATTGTTCGCTTTTTATTAAGATTAGACATTGGTTTTTTCTTTAACCATTCATTCTTATCATCATCATCATCATCAATAGAATTTGAAGGCAACGGTATTATCACCTTCGATGGTGTATTAACATCGTCGTTATCATCATCATCACTATTATTGTTATTGATATTCCTATCCCTTGTTGATAAAGACAACGATGATGTAGATTTAGATGATAATAATAATTTATTATTATTATTCCAAGTTTTATCATAATCATCTTTTTCATCATCATCATCAAGCTTTAACCATGAAGCTTTAGCCTTTTCTACATCTTTCAGTGATGATGATAAACTTTCTTTCCTTATTAAATCTGATGCTTCTCTGTATGAAGAAGTTATTTTATTATCATTATTAATATCAATGTTTTGAGATGAAATTGAACTTTCAAAGCTTTCATTTTCTCTTATATTATCATCATCATTATTTTTTACACTCTGTATCCTTTCATTATTATCATCTACAATTGTTGTAAAATCGTTTGTTGTATTGATACTATTGTTACTACTACTACTACTATTATGATGTTTATTACTGCTATTACCGTCATTATTTACATGTCTTTTAATATCCGGATAACTACTATTATTATTATTATAACTAAAGGCGTTATATTGGTTAAATGTTGGTGAAACATCATTGTTTTCAGAATGAAATTTTCCATGATGATGATAGTGATAACTGTATTTATTATTACCACTGTTATTACGTGGATATGAAGGTCTCTGTAAATTTGGTGATGATATAACGGAATAGCTATTTCTTGGTGTTAAAAATGACGGATAAATTGTTGACTCATCATCATTATCATCACCATCATTAATAATATTATTATGATAATTGTAATTAAATACTGAGTGACTTTTATCAAAATTATGTAGTAAACTGCTTCTATTGTTTAATTTTGAAAAAGACCTCATTGTGTTTAAGGGTCTTGATATTGGAGAGTCAAACTTGGTTGGGCTTAATATTATATTATTTTTGCTGTTTACTAATTGTCCACTAGATAATTTATTTTTTAGTGATGTAATACTTCTTTTGGACTTGGAATTGTGATTTTCTTGGGTATATTCTAGTTGTGAATTTTTTGTTTTGATATTATTGTTATTTTCAATATCATCATTACTTTCAAAATCAAAGTCATAATCGTCATCACTATCTTTATTTTTACCACTATTATTATCAGATATATTATTCTTACTACTGTCATTATCAGCCTCTTCATCATAATCATAACCATTTGTAAGCCTGAAAACTTTTTTATTATCATTATCATTAATTTTGGTAGAATCAGAAGTCTCAATCGTCGACTCTGAATGAGTTTTTCTACCGTCCTCATCATTACCATCATCATCTTTATCGTTACTTTGTTTTGATAAGGATGATCCAGCTGATTGGATTACAATAGATTCGTCGTTTCCTTTATTATTATTTGAAACATTTAACTCATGCGATAAGTCAGTACTATGAGTGAATGGATATCCTCTTAATGTACTATAAGATATACATTTGAGTTAATTTTGGAATTAATTATAAAATAATTATTTTAATATAATAATAATAATAAGTTAATTAATCAAGACATTTATTTACCTGAAAATAAAAACAAATTGAGTCATATTCAGTGTAAATGGTAATGTAAAATTCAATGCAAACATGAAAAATAAATTAATAGTGGGATTAAATTGAGTGTTTGATTTACGAGATAGTGAATATGATAATAAAATGGCCAAATATGTTAATAGTACAGCTATTAACAACACAATGGCTACACCCAACTATGTAAATAAAAAATATCGATTATTAAAAAAGTTTTTTTTTTTTTTTTTTTTTTGAAAAAAGCCAATTTATTTATTGATTAATATACATACATTTCTAGCAGCTTTTTTGGGCGTCGAAGAGGTACATTGCACATCAGATATATATCCATTAATCTCTTTTTTTCTTGATTCTTTGATATTTTTCAAAACCGTTGACGTCAGTTTAAACCAAGAAAGAGCAATCAAAATTAAAAAAACCAATCCCCAAACAACCCAAATAAAATAATGTGACCTATGAAACATCATAGCCATTTCTAAATCATTTTGATCGGCATAGTGACCAGTTAACGCAGCAAGTGGAAGTAAAGTGGTTAATGGTGCGATAAGAAGTAAAAATCCTAATGCATCAATCAAATTTTTATTTGGTTTACAACTTAAAATTCCCTTTTTCTCAAGTCCTAGAACTGGCGTTGAGTAAACTTTTTTAAATAATTTTTTTTTGTTAATATCTTTCTTTGATTATTGAAATTATAAAATTTAATCATGCATGTAATGACTTACTTATGCTTATTGGATAAATCATTGCTAAACCAATTCCTAATTCTTTTGATAAATCTGAACCAACTAATTAAGGAAAATATGCTTTATTGTGTGAGTATGTGTGTGTAGATGTGTGTGCGTGATACAAAAATTGAGATATACCTACTTTCTGCAGAAACCGTATTAGGATATGCATCATTCAATAAAATCAATGTATGGATCAATAAAACTAAATCAAACCGGAAAAACATCAAGGTTAATATTTAATAGAGGAAGAAATCGATTTTTTTAAAATAGAAAAAATACTTACAAAGGTTAAAAACAATAGTTAGAACATGAACAACATCATGTGGTATAGGTCTGATTATCCCACGTCCTTTAGTTGGTGGTAAAAAAAATGCTTGTTTTCTAATTATTATTTTATGACTAAGGAATCCAATCGCTATCAAGATTATAATTGTCGAATATATTATTAAAATCCATTGTGAGAGTCGTAAAATATATTCTTCGTCCTGACATCCATCAAAATTTATTCTGAAATCACATATACATTTTGTTATTATGTTATTCGTGGAATTGTCTGAACCATTATTTACAGTAAAACCATTAGTGTTGTAAGGGATTTCTTCTGTTATTTCATTATTCGCATTTATTAAAAATCTTTTACACGTTAATGCAAAATCGTTATTTAATCGAACCATTATTATTATTATTATTATTATTATTATTATTAATTATTGATAAAAATCTAAGATTTGTTCATAATATTTACAATGAAAAAAAAAAAATTATGAAAAAGTTAATAATGATAAAGGTAATAAAATAATAGTTTAATGTCAATAAACGATAACGAGATTTATTAATTATTGTGTTCCTAATTAAAAAAAAAGGGGAAAGGAAAGGAGGAAAGGGAAAAAGGAGAAAAAGAAAAAAATTTTTAATTTTTTAGAAACAAAATTCAAATTAAACAACTTTTATGCATAATTTATTATTGTAAATTTGTTTTACTTTTTTTGTTACAATCAATTATAATTTGTTGCCAATATTATTATTATATATTGTGATATCTTAATAAATTTTTTTTTTTGAATGTTTGTTACAATCAATTCTTAAAAAAATTCGTCTTATTGGTGAAAGTTCAAAGTTTCTTAAACTTCCGAAAATTTTTTTTTTCCTCTTTTTATCCGATACAGCCGTTATTATTATTATTATAATAGTTAAAATGACTTTTTTCGCACCAATAACACTTTACTCATCACGTGCAAAAAAGATTTCCAATATCTCTGACAAATGATATTCTGAATGAAAATGAAAGTTTACTGCGGAAAACTTTAAATTAAATTATTTTATTAGAAAAAAAAATTAAAATAAATTAAAATAATACAAAATGATACAAAAATAATACAAAATATACAAAAAAATAATGCAAAATTAATTAATCCAAAAAAAGAAAATTTTCACATTATCAAAAATAAAAAATTAAAAAATTAAAAAATTTAATTATTTCGAATTTTTTTCTTTTATCGAATCATTAATTGTGCATATACGTATGTAAACATGAGACTAATAAAGAGAGAGAGCGATAAAGGAATTTTTGTTTGAATGAATGTGTTTAGAACTTCTCTAAATAGCATCAATGTTGCAAATGTTGAGGTTGAACATTCGTTTTTATTATTATTATTTTTAACAACCATACCACCACTACTACCATAATTACTTTCGCCATCATCACTTGATAATCGACGTGCATTTGCAAGTTTCTCCAACATTAAAGGTTTCAAATCTAACGAACCCGTTCGTCTTTTGATAGCTGGAATAATTTTGTCCATTTCTCTTGCTAATCTACCAGAATTATCTACTTTCATTATGGAAAAGTGATGGCCTGGCAATGGTTCATGGAATGTGATGTTTTTGCTATTATTGTTTTTGTTGTAATTTTCCCATCCAAAATACGTAGAGTGGAACTCTGGATGATCCAATAACAAACTGTTTGTCTTACCATTGTATTCTCTTGCTCTCCAATAATGTACTGGTATGTTGATATTATTTGAGCTAATATCATCTGTATAGTTGTACATTAAAGCTATCAATTTGCAAATCGTTTGTTTTAATTCTTTTGTTTGAGCATCATCAATGTCATCATCGTTATTGTTATTGAGGTCAACATCCTTTAATAATTGTTCTATATCCTTTTCCCAGATTAGATTATTTTTTGTTACTTCTTTAGCATTTACAGTTGGCCTTACAAGTTTCTTCAATGGAGCTGGTGCATCTATTAGATAAACTCCACCGACTTTCTTTCCTTGGTTAATTAATTGTTTAGCAATCTCCCAGGCCACAAGTCCTCCAAATGAATATCCACAAATATGATACGGTCCTTTTGGTTGACTATATGTTATTACTTTAACGTATTTTTCCACCATTGAACATATATCCGTATTCGTATCATCAATATCTTTGGTGGAAACTTGAATACCATAAACTGGTCTTGTCATACCAACATTTTTTGCAAAATGCATATAACATGCTACGTTTCCTAAAAGTGCATGGATACAAAATAATGGATTATTGTGTTTGTTTATAATATTTTTTGGTGCAAGTGGCACCAAAACTTCCGAAGCGTATTTCTCCAATTCTAATCTGTCGATGTCAAAAGTAGCAGTTGTCGGTGATGATGATAATGATTTAATTTGTGATTTTTGTTTTGCTACTATTGCTTCGTAAACATGATTCGATAAACCTTCGATCGTGTTAACGTCAAATAGCAAAGTTGGTATTATTTCTACTCCAAAAGTTTCTTTTATCGTCGATATTAATTGTAATGCTGCTAAAGAATCAAGTCCAAAATCTGTGATTATATTTGCTTGGATGTCAATCATTTCTATTGGAATTTTTGCCGCCAAGCGAGAAATTTTTCGAATTTGATCAATTAATGAACTTTGAACTTTGGAAAGTTTTATTATTTGTGGTTGTTTTGGATAATTTGCCGTGGCACTTAGTTGTTTGGAGATGTGTTCAGCAAGTTCGGAAATTGTTGGTAAATCTAATATTAGAGCCGGACTCATTTCAATACCAAATTCTTCTTTGAGACAAGAAACTAATTGTACTGCGGTAATCGAATCAAATGCATAAGTTTGAATCAGATTTGATTTTGTATCAATTTCTTTTATTGGAGATTTTGATGCAACTCTCGAAACTTTGTGAACTTGCGAAATTATCTTATTTTCGATAGTCTCGATATCCATCATTAATGTGTTATTGTTGTTGTTGTTGTTATTGATATTATTATTAGTGTTGATGATTTTGGATTTAGGATTTTCTTCAATTTCCTCAACTAAGGTTTCCAAAATTTTTGAATCCAATAAACCTTGCGTTAACATATCTTTAGCTTTTGATCTTTGTAATTTGCCGCTGGTAGTCTTGGGTAAACTGCGTTGTTTGAGTAAGGTGACACTTTGACAAGAAATTCCATGTTTACCAGGTATTATTCGTGATATTGTATCACAGATTTCTTCTAGTTCCATTTTAGTTGGTTTCGAATCTTCTCTAACCTCCGCCAAAATAATTAAAGAATCTGTACCAGTTTTTTCGTCATTATTTACAGCAAGAGCGGCTACACAACCTGGTCTAATAGATTTATGGGATTGCTGGACTGACAATTCAATATCTTGAGGATGATGATTTTTACCATTAATTATAATAACGTCCTTTTGTCTTCCAGCAATAAATAACTCGCCATCGTACATAAAACCTAAATCTCCGGTCCTAAGAAATGATCCTTTATCAGAAACCAAATTACCATGATCATTAAGGTTCAATTTTGCCCGGAATATTTCATCCGATAGATCAGGTCTACCGTAATATCCAATGCCAACACTAGGACTTGATACCCAAACTTCTCCGATAACATTTGGTGAACATAATTGTTTAGTCTCCGGGTCAACTATTCTGATTTCAATTTGCATAGAAAGATTTGGTAATCCAGTGGAAACTAAGTAATGATGACGGCCATCACTATTATTACGATCGCGATGATTAATTATGACACGATCTTCACGTACAGCAATAGGATCTATGTCGATGACAGTTGGAAAACCTTGTTTATTTTGAAATCCGACAGTGTATGCACAATGTTCTGCTAAGCCATACAAACATTTAAACATTGTAGCTTTGAATCCGACCGATTCAAATTTTTTTGTGAATGCTTTTAGGGTTGATGAGCGAACTGGTTCCGCGCCATTAAATGCTCCTTTTAATGTACTGAGATCGAGTTGTCTGAGAACTGAATCGGAACATTTACGTGCTGCAAGTTCATAAGCAAAATTTGGTGCTGCCGTATAATTTGCTTTATATTTAGTGATCATCTGAAGCCAACTTTCTGGTTTTTGTAAAAATGATAATGGTGACATTGCAACAGATTTGCATGAGCCACGCAACGTATTCAAGAAACCGCCGATAAGACCTAGATCGTGCATATATGGAACCCAGAAAGCGATAGTAGAATTATGGTCCAAGCCAATTTCATTTTGCATTAAATCAACATTATGTAAAAGGTTTTTGTGGGTTAACATGACACCTTTTGGATCGCCAGTACTACCAGATGAAAACTGTAAGACAGCGACATTATTTGAATCGATTTTATCAATCAAATTTTCGTCAAATAAATTGTTTGATGATGCTGCTATTATTTTTTCTCCTTCAAGCCAAATTAAACTTTCAGGCCAAGTTACTTTTTTACCAAAACCGAAGAAATTTTTTACAGAGTGAATTTTGGTATATAACATATAATTTTTGTCGCTAAACACATATTTTGCTTTGGTTATGTTTGCTAGGTAAATGAATCTTTCGATATCTTTTTCAAGATCAGGTGGAGCAATTGGAACCGCTATTGTGCCGGCAAGCATAGAACCGAGCAACACTGGCAAAAAGCTTAAACCGGGAGCATAACATAATAATATTGGATCACCAACTTTACATTCAGCAACATTTCGTAAGTAGTAGGCGACTGCACGTGCTTGTTGATATAGTTGACCGTAAGTGAATTTTGCTTCTTCACGAAGATTGACATCAACCCATGTGTAAGCCACTTTTTTTGGATAACGATTTGCAGCTAATCTTAAGACCATACCCCAATTAGCTTGCGAGACAGGTTTGAGGGTAATTTGTTGTCGTATTGGTAAATGTGAAGAAATTTGTTCAGGGTTCTGTGAGAAGGAAAGATTAAAAAATCTTTTTACTAAATCTTTGCTGTACGCTACACAGTTTTCGGTTAATTCGAAATCAAGCCATCCCCCGACATAAAAAGTCTCATCAGTTCCCTGCATTCGTTCAACTTTACTATAAAATCCACGTGCCATACTTAAGGAGGATACGTGTGGAAAGAAATCCCATTTCTTATGGTAATGTATTTTATTTAACTTGCCGCCAATTTTTTCAATATCATCTTTAAGATACCCGATGATATCATCAGAAGCGATTCCTTGTTTACCATAGGCATAAAATAAATAGGTTGGTACGCCTTCGTGGGCACAATAGAATGCTGTCACGTGACCTATTTGTGAGTTATTCGTGCAATGTTTAGGAATAGTGGTCATTCCAACTTTTGTTGAAATTCCCTCTACGGTTGCAATTGTGGTGTAAAAATCGTAGGTGATTATTTCTGAAAAAATATTTGTTTCTTCCAGAGAAACATCGAGAAATTTGGTGGTTTGTTTTGGATTTGTGGCGATGATTAGGTGGTCGAAGGCGTAAGTTTGTTCGGATCCGTAAATTGTATTTTCAACTGTTACGAGTATAGGTCCTGAATTTTTACGTTTGAGTGATCGGTCGATGGTTTTGACTTTTGAATTGCATGATATATTGATATCCTAAAAAATAAATTTTATATTATATTTTAATTAATTTAACAAAAAATAACGCATTTAAAATAAAAAAAAAAAAAAAAAAAAACAAAACTAATCAATTACCTTTGCCATCTTGGCCCAGAAATCTTGGAAGCCGTTTTTAAAATACCATATGTTATTTTCAGAGTTTTCAATGAATTTTAAGAAATAGGCTGCAGGTATATCATCCTGAATATAACCGTAACCCGCAGAAGTATAGGCAAGGCTCCACGCATCTTTTAAATATTCCATTTTTGTATCTTTTAACCATTGAGAGATAGGTGCGTATAAATTATTTTCGCTAAGATTTCCATGACCCGGCAAAGAAATTTTTTCGTAGGCAGACCTTTCTTTTAAATAATGGTTGGTGTGTGGTAGTAAATGGGAGTATATACATATTTTATCTGTATCATCAACCATGATTTGATTTTTATTATTATCAACATCAATATTTAAAGCTCTTCCGGTAAACTTATCCATTTGGCAATTCAATTCTTTTGCTAGGGATTTTATATTTTTATAATTGTTTCCAACCATCAAAGCACCAACGTCAAAACCACGACCATCAACGTAACACGTTGAACTTTTTCCAGCAATATGTGAATCCGATTCAAGGATAATGACATTTGTATAACCTTCTTTCTTAAGAAAATGTGCGGCCGATATACCAGCTGGGCCAGCCCCTATTATTCCGATACGAGAAGATTTTTGAATTGGATTTGAAGATTTCGTTATTGGTATAGACATTTCGTTTTTGTTTTTTAAAATATTATTTTTACAAAGAATAATAGAATAAGAAAGATAATTATTATTTAGGTTATACAAATAGTCAAGTGTGTTTATGTTTGTACGTGAACGTGAAAAAAAAAAAAATAAATTTATTGAAGAAAAGAATGATTTTAATTATTTAGTAGAAATTTTTTGAAGCATTTAAGGATAAGTTTAGTTCGAATATATATATGAAATTGACCATAATACTAACTTACGAGACTTCTGTCCATTGTATAAACTATTGTTAATGTTTTTTTTTTTTTTGGAAAAATAAAAGCACGAATTTTCATAATTAGTAATTGTTGTTTTAATTTATTAACTACATAACTAACATTTGTTATTAATTATAATACAATCGATTGAATAATATTAACGTATATTAAAACAATATCTATCCTTTTTTTATAGCTGAACTCTAATTATAATCTGGTATGTTAAAAATAATACAAAATAATTAGGACACAATAACAATAAACATTTCACCAACAAGATCATTTCATTATCACGGTTACACCAATACACAATTGCATAACAATAATATTTATTTTTTTTTTCCGTTAATATTATTCAATATCTATTAGATTTTATCCGATCGACGTTATACCAACCAATACGGGAATTAAGAAAAGTTGTGGTCAAGGGCTAATTGCCTTAAAGGAGTTGATTTCTAAAAAATGCATATATATATATTTTAAAGTCATTCATAGAAATTATTTATTATAAATTTGTTACAATACATTTCATATTTAGAAAAATCATGTTTATCATTATGTATTGTTATGTCACCTCATAATTTTGTTGCTAATAGGAATAATTAATCTAAAAATAGAGATAATGAATTAATGCGCCAACGAATTGGGTAAATTTGAGATTTCATTATTTATTACTATTATTATTATTATTATTTATTACTTACTATTATTACTATTATTACTATTATTATTATTATTATTATTATTTTATTTATCTTCTAATAAAATGTAACAATACAAAAAAACGGCAAAGCGCGGATTTTAATAACAACCCATTTTTGTAAAGAATGCAAAGTAAGACACAAACCTTTTTTTTTGTTTTCTGCCCAATATTAATTTTTCTTACTCTTACCTTGCTATAGCAATCAAATGCATAAAAATTATATATAGGTCATTATAAAGAGAACGAGTGTGCTGTAATTTAAAATCACTGGCAGTATTTATTATGACCGACCATTACATATGCATATTCGTTATCATTGTTCCAATTATTTACGTAATTCACTCTTCAATGTTGGCCTCCTAAATATTCTTCGTCAATCGAACCACTAACATATAAATATTTTTTATCATTTTTAATTTCGTTATACCATCTCTCTTTTCCTGTTGCAAGTTTCCGCAAATACTTGAAAATTTTTATTTAAAAAAGATTTTATTTTTTGTAAATAAAAAAATGCCATTTGAAAATTTTCATCAAAAAACGAACAAGAATTGTATTTAAAGCCTATGGTAAAAAGTACAATAAATGATAGGTAATCTTCATCATTTATCGAATTCATTTTTTGAAGAGGCTCTTTAAAGATAAAATTTTATTATTGGTAGATGGAAACAAAAAATGTAAAAGGTATAAAAACGAGAGAACGTAAAAAGCAAAATAGTTGAAATCATCCGGTAAGGTTTATGGAATCATGCATATATTGCCTTGATATATTATAGTTTTGGGATATTGATAATATCTACCATTTGATAATAGAGCGCAATTTAAAGAAAATTCTTGTTAAATTCACGCTTTTCTAAATTTGAATTTATCATCTAATTAAAATTTGTCCATTCATTATGTAATTGTTTACACATAGCTAAAGGGCAAAAGCTTTGAAGAAGAAATTAAAATGCATTCGGAAAAAATAATTCAAATTCATCCACTTTTTTGGTCGATTTAATTTATCAAAGAAGCTGAATTGCAAACGACTGATGTGAGGAGGGGTTATGTTATGTAATTGACTTTATGCATAAACAGCTGACCGACGTACAATGCTGCAAACATTGCATGTTCTTCTTTTTTGTGATTTTTTTTTTTTTTTTTTGACACTCCCCTGAGTAAGATGTTTGGTCTGGACTGCGAATTCATTCGTTACCTTTTAAAGAACAGAAATATATGCATGAAAGGTTTAAGAATCAGGCAAAACTAAAAACATATCCTGGATTTTTATCTTCTTGCCTTATATGGATGATGCTAGTAACCATTGATTATAATATTATTATAATTTTTATATGGTTTTTGATAGTCACTAGCACTGGGCATTTTAAGAGTATATTCCGTGCAGTAAATGGTCGCACAAAAAAAAACTATTATTTATTTGACGAATAAATAATTAATAGTAGAGATCGAATAAACTTTACGCTATACCCAAACAACCAAATTTTCTTTCTCTCCAATAATAAAAAGAGAGGATGCACAAATACTAACTTTTATTCCTCAAGTGCAACCCTTTGTTTTACTATTCCATTAATATACAGACGGTTATGCAATTGACACTATAACAATACTATAAGTAAAATAAGTAAAAATCACACTATGAACTTCTTTTTTGTCTCAAATTCATTAATATCTCTTTCTATAGCAAACAAAGGCATAATAAAAATTACATATTCATTATAGAGAGAATGAACAATATAATCAATTATTGAGAATGTTAACAACCATACATGAAGTCGAGATGATTTTATGTCATATAACATGATTTATTATAATCAATAATTTCAAAATTAATTGTCTCGAGAACCAGCTATCCAGATTTAATGAAACACAGCTCATTAGAATAGTCTCATAAAGTGGATTCAAATAATGGTATTGTTATGTTCGCACCAATAAATGGCGAGTTCTTGTAATATATATACGGTAAACCAAAATGTTTCAATAATCAGTGTTTCACATTTTATGAATTACATCTTATTAGACTCACTTCATCGAGGGAATTCGAATGGTAGTTGTTTTATCCAAAATAGCTGGATATTGGCCGAGTCACGGCAATTTATCTGCACACTCTGGTGTAATTTCGACTTTTAGGTTTTAATTTCGACTTCATGTATATTAACAACATCTTCTGTATAAAATAATAATATTTTCTGCATTAAAAATATTCTAATTTACTAACCATTATATCATTAGATTCCTAGCCTTGTGTGTATGATAGTAGATATGTTATTGTTTTCATTCAACCTAATATTTTTAATAAGTAAATAATAAGTTAGCATATGATATGAAATTTATTCCTTAAACGGGGTTTCAGCTATAAATAGCCGAAAATTATATATATATATATATATAACTTTCTCTAAGGATACTACTTTCCTAATGTAAAAATGATCTTTGAGATTCAGCCAATTGATCTATAAATAAAAGTTTGGTCGTTTGTCTGTCGATTGACACTTTTACTTTGCTGATCATCAAATTAGCCAATAAGTATGCAAAATCGTGATCAAAAAAGAATAACTCTGAGCTTATGACTTTATTCACATAATAGCATATATCTAATTTGTTGGAGCGCTAGAATCTCAAGGAAGGTTTTGGTGTGCTTTAAACAAATATTTGATGAACCTTGCCTTGTACCAGCAAAATTAGACAGTCCACCCTTAAGTTGCATAATACCAATATCATATGTGACTACTAATACTTGCACAATGTATTACAGTCAAATTTTGATTACTTTTTTTTTTTTAAAGTTGAAAATTTTCAATTTATTATAAATTATTTTGTTCAAGGAAGTTAATTTATAGCTTCATTTATTGAATATTAGGTATAGTTGAATGAACCACTTACAATGATATCTTCCTTTTTGATTGGTACAAAATAATTAAGGTTATCTTCGTCATTTGGGATTTTATTAACTTCACCATCAATTTATATATATTTCGCTGCTGATATGCTCATATTTTTGTGCTGAATCAATAGTTTTTGGCTAAAGTCTGGTTTTTTTTTCAATAAACACAATTCGCATCTTTGTTTAGCAGCAATATATATTAATATGCATTTTTTGGACATTTTATAAAAATATTATTAATTGTGTAGAATAGAATTATAGTTTAATTGTGATTTTTTGTAGTATTTAATAATTGTCAAAAAATTTTTTTTACCTTTTGAAATATTTTACGTGTCATCAAACTAATAATGATTGGCTCAATAAATTTTGGCATATTAAAATAGGACCGGGAAAACTCTATTGAATGTCATCGCCAACACTACGATTCGAAAAGACTTTATAATTTAAAAATGTCACCGCACACCTTATATTCGCATTAATAAGGAAGAAAAAAAGGTCTCCAGTTATACTATAATTCGCAAAGAAAAATTTCACCGGTCACGTCGATTCGCGAACATAGGTTATTAATATGCTGCATAATTTCCGTTATAGCATCTATGTATTCTGCGGTTTTATATTTTTTCCAAAAAAAAAAAAAACGAATCAATATTTAAACAATTTGGTGGTGTGCAATCAAAAGGAATAGTTATGTGACCATTAAGTTAGTTATTATTATTTAATTGTTATTTTTTCTTATTTAAAAAATATTACAAAATAGAAATCCTAAAAATAAAGCATATTAATATTTGAAATTTCGTAAAGACTCTTCAGATAAATTATCATCTAAAAATTGAATTATATTTAGAAAAACTTCGTTATACACTACAAGAAGAAAATTGTAACCATATATATTCAAAGAGATAAATATTTGACCAATATCCATCTAATGCAACCTCTATATTAAATACGGATCCACAATAAATTGCCCATTCATTTGTTTTAAGAAAGAGAGGTATCAAGTGTTTGTTGAAGTTTGACGTGTTTATTTTTATTACATAAATAAATTCTAAACCTTCTTTATAATAGGTCTTTGATGCAACAGAACAAATTTTATGTGATAATAGGTTATGAGAATCCGTCTGAATAGGGAAATTTGCTAGTTTTAGGCACGATTTAATTATTTCTCAAGTCAAACCTTCTTTTATTCAAGAAAATTATTGTCAAAATACATGGAATTCAAGTTTTTTTTATATATACATAATGTTTCATTAGAGGACTATTCACTCATGAAGTCTATGTGCCCAATCAACATTGGCCACAAAATTACAAAATAAAATTACATCATTAATGTGAAATTCACCAGGATTTCTTCTAGTATTGATTGTATGTTCTTGTACCTCTCTAAAAAAATTATTATGTTATTAAATTCCCATTTTTATATTATCTGCGGTATTCTGCGGTATTTTTCCATTTTTAAACACACATTCCGTGATTTCTGCGGCATTCTGCGCTATGCAAAAAATCATTGTCCCTGGTTTCTAGATTAAAAAAAATGAGGCGAAAAACAAAATCAGTTGATTTCTCAAAAACCCCTTTTTTTCCGAACTATCTTTTTGTTAGAATGGAACCCAATTGTTATTATAAGCATTAATTGATTATAGATGTCTGTACCGTAGATACATATAAGTTCGGCAGGGCTAAGATAATTTTCTTATTTTTCAAAATGGCGACTGCATCACATATCAAAACAAAAAAATTCTATTATTTTATATGGTGTTATTTCATTATGTCTCATTTTCAACAAAGCAGCAAGCCTCTTCAATATGGAAGTTCACGAGCACACTTATGTCATAGTGTATGCTAAAAGAATAGATTTTGTTTAGAAAAAATTTATAGAAATATAGTAATAGTAATAACAACACAGAAATCGATCGGTGTAGATGATTTTATATATATTAATATCATATATTGATTGGTTATATATATGTAATAAACTGTGCAATTTTCAATTTGTTATTTCTCCCCCATTTTCAACAATACAGGTACCAGATGTGTGTGAAAAGATAGTAAATAGGTAGTATTTTAAAAACACAGAGAGTTATTGACACTTTAAAAGTTCAGTATTGTAAAATATTCATTCGAAATTTTCCTTATTGCAATACTTTTGCTCTATTCCATCTTTCAGAAAATTAACATATTCTCTCTGTGTCAGTACTCTACGTATAATTTTCAATCAAACAGACGAATTTTGCAGGAGAAATGTCAGTTTAAATTCAACGCGCTAAAAATAAGTTTTTTGTAATACAGGAAAAAAGGGGGCAACCATGAAAAATCCACACACATAAATTTATTTATTGATATTAATATTAAGATTTGTCAATCAACCAATATCGAATATCCCAATGCACTAATCTTTTTATCTTTACAGCAAAATATGCCAAATCTCTTGTCTAAACACACTCGCTCTAACCATTATATTGTTATTTTGTTATCTTATTAGATCATCCCATCGTTTCTATGAAACTCACTTGTCTTGTGTTATATTATATGTATGGTGTGAAATTATTACAGTGAGCGCGCACTACGGTGAAGATCATTTATAATAATTAATTGCTTATAGTAACAATTGGTCAACTTCAAAATACTAAAACAAAAAAAAATATATCATTTTAAAAAATTTAACCGATAAGTTTTATTGTTCATGACTCAAGCTTCAAAACTTATCGGCTGGTTTTTT